ATAGGAGCACAGTGGCTTCTATGGTTAAGATGCTGACTTGATGAGCAACAAGCCTATGATTGAGACTCCAGTGTTGCCATATGGGAAGGTGAATTCCTGTCCTTTTTTCCAGCTCCTGCATGGATCATGAAAGGACCAACTGGGTATGCCCTGGGCAACAGTGATGTAACTGGCTAATCCTTTCAGCCCAGAAGCTTCTTGGTATTTCTGTATGTGACGCAATTTCTGATTTTTGTTTAGTTTAAATAAAGAGATGAAACATATAATTTACAGTACAGAATAACAGACTAGAGGGCCTCCATGAACTAGATATAGAAATTTGGGAGGTCATTTTTTTGGTCTATGGGACAAATGTTTTTCTTTATCCTTTATCTTCTTAGGCAATATCCTATTACAGAGATGGGATTCAGCAAATTTTGACCAGTTCTGGAGAACCGTAGTGGAAATTTTGAGTAGTTCGGAGAACCGGTAAATACCACCTCTGACTGGCCCCATCCCCATCTATTCTCTGCCTCCCGANTCTTTTCTTACTTAATTTCCTTCCTTTTTATTTATTGTTTCCTTTCTTTCTTTTTCTTTGTCTGTCTGTCTTTCTTTCTTTCTTTCTTTCCCCATCCCCACTTTCTTGAAGCTGCTTAGTATGCTGAACCACTTCCAGGAAGACAATAAAGCGATGAGAAAAGCCGGGAGGTGGGAAAGGGGGGGGAGTCCTCACAAAAGGAGGCAGGGGCTCCTGAGGCCTGGCCCCTCCTCAAAAAAAGCAGAATACTCTCCCCCCCCCCCGTTTCCCAGCGAGTATCTTGGCCCCCAAAATCCAGAGCTGCCCCCACAAAAGGCACCGATCCCCCAAAGGTCCTGGGGCTGAGCCATTTGAGGAGAGGGAAACTGAGGCACCTTTGGCTCTGCAAAGACCCCTCCTCTCTCGCCCGTCCTGCTGCCCCCCCCCCCCGAGAGTGAACTTGGCTGCCCCTGCCCAGCCTTGCCACCCCAGACTCCCCCCCCCCAATCTCCCCTGGGGTGGGCTCTTTCAGGGACCCCCCAACAACACCCCAGCAAGGCGTGGACTCTTTCGGGACCCCCGGCGGGCACTGCCAAAGTGGAGAGGAGGGGAACCCATGCTCCCCCTCCCCCCCACAAAGCTTCCCATGCACGCCCCCTCCCGGCCCCACAAAGACCCCCCTCCTGCCCTCCAGACAGAAGCCCCCTCCCCACCCTCCCATTGTCTGCAAGTTTGGGGGTCCTGCAGGGCAGACTGGGGGGAGAGGGGGGGTCGCAGAGAAGGAAGGACCCTCCACAGAGACCCCGACCCCAAGAAGCCGGGTTGGGGGAGCACCCCCTGCCCCCTCCCACGCCCCCCGCCCCCCTCCTGAGCACCTGTAGGGCAGGGGGTCGCCTCCCCCCCCGTCGCCCCCCGCCCCGCCGCCCCTGGCCCACCTGGCTCCGTCTCTTCGGGTCTGGCCGGCTGGTTGCCCATCTCGAGCCCGCTCTACGGCCGCCTGTTCATCCTCGGGGCTGCGGCGGGCTGGAGGAGGAGGAGGAGGAGGCGGCTGGCTGGCTGGGGAGCTGCGGACTCTTGCAAGGCGGCGGGAGGGAGGGAGGAGGCGGCCCCGCGGAGCCCTGCCCCGGCTGGCCCGGCCCTCCCTGGGGCTCCGGGGCCGGCAGCAGCAGGAGGAGGAGGAGGAGGAGGAGNACATAATTTGAGAAAGGAGAGGGAGAATAACAGAGGTTTGCAGTAATTTTATTAAAAATAATAGTTTAGCATACAACTGAAAAGTAATAGAATATGAATAAAGAATATATATATATATATATACCATTGTGGCTCTATATGGCTCTATAACTGACTTCCCTCTTCATCACAAGTATAAATAATTTTAGTAACTGACCACATTCTCTTAAAATATAACAAATGAGTTCTTCTTTACATATCCCAGTGCTTATCTATAAACAAATCCAGAAAGCCTTGTCAATTCAGTCCTGATGTCAGCAAAAGTCTATTCGAGTTTACCAGAGGTAACAATATATCTATTTTAACCTTGATCAAATAAACCAACTTCATATTCTTTGTCTCTTCTCACAAAATTCTTCAAAGTTTTAACAAAAGCCCTTTGTAAATTCAATATATAAAAATTATCAGGGTGACTCTCGTGGTTTATTATTTGTATGCCACTTTTGTTTATTAAAACATCCACCACTTTCTTGTGTATGTCCAGTATAGCATTGTTTTTGATATCATCCTTGTAACCTATCATTCTGAAATCCACTTTTAGATCAATTTCAATCTTGTTTAATCTTTAGATTAAACACAATCTAAAAAGGAAGACACTCATCAAATTAATTTAAATTGTTAATTTTTCAAAAATATTCTTCAGTATGTCCAATGTTAAAATATTTTATTTAATTCTGTATTATTAACTCAAATTTAGGTGTTTTGTAATTGTAATCTTTATTCTTCCTTCTTATTCCCTCTAGTGTCCAACATGCAAAGTCTCATACCATGTTTTTCTAATAAAAATATCAAAACAAAAGCATTTTCTTATAACAAAGATTCTTATGATTAATTCCAAACTATTATTTCAAATCAACCTCAATCCTTTGTCTGTTTTTAAGTCCTTAAACTTTTATTTACAACTTCTTTCACTAAGGATTGAAGGAAATTCACGCAGTGTTTAAAACTTGTCAATCCGAATCTAATGATAGTTGAAAATTGCTGTTAAAAAGCATTATCCAAAAGTTATTAGTGAAGGAAGTATGCAAACTCAATTTTGAAGGTGCTAACTGAAGTTTCAGCAAGATGGTTATCCTATTATCTCCCAGAGCTTTAAATCAACTGGAGACCATTGTCTTGAAATCTCCCTGTAAGAAGCAAACTGTCTGGTCATCACTTTTGGTGATCCCATGTCTTTTTTCTTCAGCTTCTTTGCAGAGGCGATATTTACTATCTGTTGCAAAAGCGCAGTGGTTAGAGTGCAATACTACAGGCTACTTCTGCTGATCACAGGCTGCCAGCAGTTTGGCAAATCAAATCTCACCAGGCTTAAGGTTGACTCAGCCTTTCATCCTTCTGAGGTCAGTAAAAAGAGGACACAGATTGCTGGGGGCAATATGTTGACTCTGTAAACCACTCAGAGAGGGCTGTAAAGCACTGTGAAGCAGTATATAAGTCTATTTGCTATTGCTATTTTCTGGTTTATTCTCTGGCTCTTCACCATGGTCGTAGGCTCTGTTTTTAGCAAAGCTGTCTTCAGTAACCTTTTTTTTCCTTGGAAGTCCCAAAAATAATAGAAGTTTAGAAGGAAGCCGAAGTGCTTAAAATTTATTTTCTGTTCTTTGCTATACTCCTTTAGAAACATGCCAACAAATAAAGCATAATTAAAAATGCAAGAGCAAATAGAAAGTCAGGTTCTTTCCTACTTGTTGTTCTC